CAGGATAGGCACATACACAGAGAAACCCTATCTCGAAAAACAGAAGGAAAAAAAAAGTGAGAGGATAGTTTATAGAAGCTTGCATAGTTTGCTGAGTGCCTAGGCCACTGAAGGATCTTTGAACTAAAGTAACAGGGAGAACTATTGAAAAGTAAGTAAATGGGGCTGGAGGAATAGCTCAGCCGTTAAAGGCCAGGCTCACAACCAAAAATATAAAAGTAAGTAAAGGATGCTGAGGTACAAGGGATGGGGATCCTACAACAGCCTTTAGTAAAAGGTTAGTAGCCCAGCCAGGGATAGTATAATCCCAGCTCTTGGGAGTTGAGGCAGGACAGCCACTGAGTTGGTTAGCCTAGGCTACAGTGACTTTCCAAGCAAGCCTGTCCTACAGAGACCATCTCAAGAAAAGATTGTAAGATAGTGAATAACCTGAGATTAGCAAAATTCTAAGAAAACAGATGGTAAGGATAGAGGTATCCTGACCAGACACATTCTGGAGATGACAGGTGGCTAAGGTAAAGAGAGATGTGCTCAGAGTGTTATTTATATGGCAGCAGGTAGTAAGCACTGTTGCAGAACAGGATAACTAGGAAGGAAGAAGGGAAACAGCTCACAAGGCACCATGGGATTTGTCCTGAGTTGTGCTTAAGAGGCAGATGGGTATAGGTCATAGGTTACGGCCTTAACTATTGGAATCACTACTCAATGTAAGCAGGTAATGACTGCTGTTAGTTAAGGAGGCACAGGGTTAGTGCCAAGTGTCCAGAGAGGTACTATGAACAAGTCACATGCTGCAGATCCCAGCCAAAGCTGTTTCCTTCCCCTTCTACCCCCAGGTGACCAAGGCCTCTACCAGGAAAAAGGCTTTCACTTCACCATGAGCTTCCCTCCAGAGAGCCACTCAGACACCAGGGTTAAGTCAGCACCCACCAGGGGTTTAATTCTTCTACGTCAGTTCAGAAAGGGGCCATGCCTTGTCCCCATCCAAAAGAAAAAATCTGCAGGGCACCCTGGGAATGTCCAAGCCCAGAAAAGCCAAGGGGTAGTCCCTGAGCAAGTAGAGAAGTGGACCCTTCCGGCTCAGGCTGCCTCCTCCTCCTCCTCCTCCTCTTCTTCTTCACTCTCCTCCTCACTCTCATGATACTGTCTGTGATTGGTGTTGACAAAGAGGTCAGAATCGTCTTCAGAACCCGATTCTTCTCCCGACAGCTGTGGTCCAGTGGGGAGTTCTGGCTGACTCTGTCTGTGTGAGCAAGAGGATGGAGTAAGTCACATCTCCTGGGAAAACCACACCTATAATCCAGTCTCAGAAAATCAGGACCACTAACTAACTAGTCAGGAACTGATAGGGTTCTGACAATCCGAGAGCCTCAAACCCTGATGTGGTGGCACATGCCTAGTATTTAGGATACCAGAGGATGATGAGTTTGAGGACAGCCTGGGCTACATAATTGGACCCTGACTCAAGAAATCATCCATCCATCCATCCATCCATCCATCCATCCATCGTGGAGGGCTTCTGGAAGCACAGAGCAAATAAGGAAACCCAGTCAAAGGAAAGCACTAAGGATTACCTCCTACCCACCCCATCACTGGTTTTAGTAAGGAATCAACAACTCTATCAGCATCACTGACACACGCAGTGGGCTTGAATTTAGTGCTAATGCACTAAAACAGAGGTTCTCAACCTTCCTAAGGCTTCCACTCTTTTGTAGTTTCTAGAGACAGGGTTTCTCTGTGTAATTTTGGTGCTTGTCCTATATCTCAATCTGTAGCCCAGGCTGGCCTCGAACTCAAGAGATCCACCTGCCTCTGCCTCCCAGTGCTGGGATTAAAGGTGTGTGCCACCACCGCCCGCCAGGCTTCCACACAGTTCTTCATGCTTCTTCATATTTCACTGTTACTTCATAACTGTAATTTTTCCTCTATTATGAATCAGAATGTAAATGTCATCTGATATGCAGGATATCTAATATGCGACCCCCAAAGGGGCGGAGACCCCAGGTGAGAACTGCTGCACTAAGCAACTGCATAAGCATCACCCTTCTTACTCAGCATAATCCCATCTCTTAGATGAGGAAAGGTTTCACTAACTCAGGCTGGCTTTGAACCTGTTACCCCAACTTCCACCTTGTAACTGCCAGAGTAGCAGGTATGTACTGCCACACCCAGTCAGGAATCTGTCTGAAGACATTAAATGATGCACCTAAAGTCACTTGCCTATTAAGTAGCAAAGCCAGCATTTTAATTTGGAGCATGTGACCTTCAAGCCATACTCATAGCTATCCACTCTACTATAGATGTCGGAGTTCTCATCAGGAGAAAGCCAGGATCACCTATCTCCTTGAGGGACCAAGGTGTGAACTTGTATTTTTGTCTTCCCTGGGCTGGGGCTTGCTCCTCACCTGTTTATATTATTCTGTTTCTCAGCTACCTCGGAGAAGGCCTCAGGCCTGTGACAAGAGAAGAGCCAGGTCAGAGAGCAAAGAGAAACCTCTCAGCAAAACAGCTGTTTCCAATGTCCCTCTTGGGACAGCATAACCTCACCCCACCCCCACCCCATTCACTAGCAAGGATGCTACTGTCCCCAGAAGCCAGAGGGCCATAGATCAAGATTATCTATCGTACCAGTGACCCTCCTTCTGCAGAGAGCGGACATGGTTTTTGCAGAGCACGAAAGAAATCTCAGCCTTCACTTTTTCTCCCTCTTCAATTGGATCAACAATGAGAAAGTCCCCTGTAGGTGACAAAAGATAAAGCCATTTCTGTATGTGAAGAAGAAACTCAAGAATCAAGGCCCTGGTTCTGTGTTGTAGAGGGGTGATTCTAACCTCTCTTGATCCAGATGTTCTTGCGGTATTTGGAGGGCATGCTCACCAGGAAGCGCTGCCCTTGTGCTGTCTCTACCTCATGCAGATTGTTCCCAGGAGTCCTGAGGACCTGGTCCAGGAGAGACCAACAATTGGGGACATCATCAGTTAGAACAAACATACACTGACCCTCACTGAGTCCTTCCCACACCCCAGGGGTCCAATGGGAGTAGAGAAAAGCTTAGACCAATCCCATTACCTTCACTATCTGCTGTTGGTCCGAGGGCACCATGTGCTCCCCCAGCACCTCCTGCACCACATGCTTTCTCTTGGTGGCCTGAGACATGCTGGGTTCTGTCCAGGGTTGTTAGGACGTGGAGGCTGTCAGCTCTTCTTCCAGAGTTATTTGGATGGCAGTCTTAGAAGCCAGGACTGCTTCCAAGGGGAACAGCCTTATGCAACAAAATGCCACCTCGCCCTGTTAAAAACATGAACTTTACAGGACTGGACGACTTGCTGCTCTTGCAGAGAACCCAGGTATAGTTCCCAGCCCTCACAGAGGCTTAACAACTGGCCCTAATTCCAAGCCCGGGGGATCTAACGCCCTCTTTTGGAGACATACATGCAGCTTTTTAAAAAACACTGGTACACATAAAAAAATTAAAAATCATTAAAAACAAAACACAAGCTCTAGCCAGATGGTGGCGCATGCCTTTATTCCTAGCACTTGGTAGGCAGAGGCAGGCAGATCGCTGCTGAGTTCTAGGTCACCCGGGTCTACACAGTGAGACCCTGTCTAAAAAAAAAAAAAAAGAGCAAACATGACCTTTAAGGGCCAGAGAGATGTGTCAGGACCCAGCATCCACACCAGCTGATTCACAACCATCTCTAACTCTAACTCTAGGGGAATCCAATGCCCTCTCTGGCCTCCAAAGGCACTTGCAAAACCTACACAGAGTAAGCTTTGTACGTTTCCTGGAACTCACTCTGTAGCCCAGGTTGGCCTCGAACTCAGGGATCCGCCTGGCTCTGCCTCCCGAGTGCTGGGATTAAAGGCGTGCACCACCACCGACCAACACAGAGTAAATCTTAAAAACCACTCAGCGATGGTGGCACACGCCTTTAATCCCAGCACTCGGGAGGCAGAGCCAGGAGGATCTCTGTAAATTCGAGGACAGCCTGGTCTACAGAGCGAGATCCAGGACAGGCACCAAAGCTACACAGAGAAAGCCTGTCTCGGAAAAAACAACAACCACAAAAAAACCCAAAACAAACCCACGAAACAAGTTTTACAGTCTCAGTTGGGGGGTGGGGGTGGCTCGAGCCTTTAATCTCAAGACAGCCCAACCCATGGAGGCAAGGGGATCTCTCTGGAAGATGGAGGCCAATCTGGTCTACACAGTGAGATGCCCTCTCAATAACACAAAGTAAGTAAATAAAGTCAGATCCTGGCCCGGGACAGGGAAAGCCCTACGAGAGCCACCCCTGTTAAAAGTCCTGCGGTGGCGATGAAAGCCTACGCACCTCCCAGGCCGATCATCCTGACAGTGTCTGGGGAAAGTCTGGGACGAACTACTTCCCTCCACCTGCCTGAGCCCCCGAGTCTCGTACAGCCACAAACAGCCGCTCGACCTCCTCACTCCACGGTTCACACCCACTCCACCACCATCGCGCCGCTTGGCCGCACTCACCCGCTCGGCGTTACACCAGCAAGCTCCGGTCTCCAGGCTGACGCCGAGAGCAGCCCGTCCCCGACGCACGTCCAGACTCAGTCAACGGAACCAGAGCAATGCGACGGGCGGGAGGTCACGACGGCAGCGCAGGGCGGACACTCGGCCTCAGACCCCCGGTGTTCCCGGCTCCCGTCAGCCGGCTGGAGGTAGACCTGACTCGGAGGAACCCGCGAGAACTGCACTTCCGGGGCGGGGCTCTCAGGAGCCCTCCGGATGCCCCGCCCCTTCGTTGTCCGTTCCTCTAACTCTTCCCTCCACCAAGTCAGGCAAACCCAAGTCTTTGCGTTCCGGGTGCTGGTCAGGAAAACGTAGTATTCTCCTCGGAGGCCTCGGCCTCACAGACGGGAAGCGCGGCCGGAGAAACCATAAAAGGCAGCGCGGCTTCCTGTGAGGGACCGGAAAACCACAACTATTGTGGGCGCCGCGGTGAGCGGTGGCGCCTCAACTCTATGGCTCTGGGCGGCTAGACGTGCCCAATTGTTTTTAAGCGGCTCATCAGACGACCCGGAAGCGGAAGCCGAAGAACATTCTAGTTGCTTGAGGGATCGGCGGGAGCGGCTGAGTGGCGCGAGGAGCCGTTACCAGAGCCAGAGTTGCCGGTGAGCGTGAGCGGCGGAGCAGGGCTCCGGCGGGAGGGAGAGGAGCACTCGCGGCGGAGGCGCCTTTGCGGCGGCGCGGCCCGGCCCTGCGGGAGG